TCTCTCTCTCTCTCTCTCTCTCTCTCTCTCTCTCTCTCTCTCTCTCTCTCTCTGAATGTAAGCAAAGGGTCTACGTAATAAAAATATTGTGTATCGTCTACTTTAGTTATGTACTATCTTCGGTAGGCCTAGATCTACATTATCCTCAACTCGCTCGCCAAATCGCTCCGAATCAATGAAGCATAACCAACCCCCGCCCCTCACGCCTTTGTAATGGGACCGAAAGTAGGCTTGCTAGGCCTGAGTTTGGGGGAGGGGGCAAGGAGTTTAGGCCTTGGCCTACAGTTAAAAAAAAAAAAAATGACCTAAAGGATAGACAGCCAATGAGCGACGCACACGGATAAGACTTCATGGAAGGTATCGAGATTACCCAATCAAACGCTCCGACTTAACGCCTACGGCAAGACACCGGTAAGTTCCGTTTTCGCTGTGCTGTGGCTGTGAGGAGTGAGGAGGATTTTGTAGGTCTCATCGCCACGTAGGCTTTTGCCCCCTATTACACACTGTGCCTGTGCGTGCGGCTTACTGAGATCAGCCGAGGGTTGGGAGCGTGAGAACATATTGCACAGCTATCCACGAGGCTCTTTTTGCATTTGACGAGAAACAGAACACGTCTTTGGTAAATATGGCACTCAAGTTTCAGATTTTCTGCATCCTTGTTGCACTTGTGGCTTTGAGCCATGCAGAAGACGAGCAGGGCGACGAAATATCCGTGGAAGTTGTCTCTGTTCCAGAAGAATGTGAGAGGAAGTCCCGTAAATTTGATCAGCTGTCCATGCATTATACTGGAACTCTGACAGAAAGTGGCAAAAAGTTTGACTCAAGGTGGGTAGATTTTCTTCGGTGATCTTGTAGTTCCGTTCGTTAAAGTCCACGATCCATTTGTTTACATTCAGACTTCAGAGAAGAAATCCAGAAGTCTTGAAGACCAAATACTATTTGAATTAGGCTACACAAAGAGCAGGGATGCAACCTAACTGCAAAACATCAAATTAGGATAAAATTCAGGGGGGCATGCCCCCCTGAACCCCCCCACCTCCATATTTTTTTTAGGTCAGGCCCCCCTGAAACCCCCCTGCTTGACTTTTTTAGTTTTAGTAAAGAGTTTTACGGCACTTGCAACACAATAAGGTCATATAAGTGCCGAAGATTAGAGGTGTTACAAGAGAGT